GGCTATGATGATACAAAATGCTGCTTTTAACCCTCTAGTCGGCCCTCAAGTTACCCTCGACTAGTTTTCTGAAACGAAAATAAAAGGTCAGATCTCAGATTTTTGTTTGAAATATCAATTCCGTTCATTTTCTTCGGCTAAAATAATATATTGTTTGTAAGTTTAAACTTGAGACTAAAACTGAACTGAACTTGAACTGTAAGTTTTCACTATGAATCTATGAAACACAAACTGAGCTACTCAAAAGTCAACCGATCAATAAGTTGACAATTTTTTCGAGGCATTTTTTCCAAAATGCTCGATGGTTCCACTAAACTTTAGTGCATGTCAGATATTCATATACAAAATTGAATCGAAATTTATTTTGAAATAATCTGAAAAGTATGCTCTAAGAGAATATTACGTACAACATTTTGCTGCATGTGATACTCACTTGAAACGCACCTTCTGACTTATGACAAGTGTCCCTTCATCAAATGTTACATGAGCAAATACCTAACTCAGGTATTTCAGTGTAATGTAACCTTCAAGGTTCTTGAAAAAAAGAGTCTTAAAATCCAAAAATCATCGATAGAGAGATCAACCACAGAAATGTTCTCGGAGGTGCTACATCAAAACGACTGCGCACTATAATCACCGTGTGCTATATCAAAACGACTGTTAGGACAGATCTGTCTGGCCAATGTTTTAGCGTTCATAATATCGGATGTTCCAAATGCCGATCATCTCTGTTTGCACCTTCTGTCTCGATCACCGCGGATATTAAATTTTAAATTTATTTCACTCCCTTTCTATTTCTCTCGCAGTTTAAAAATTACAACTTCACAAAAAAATTCTGAGAATCCCTCGCGTTTGGCAATACTGAGCGATGACGATAGGCAGCTGTTTCACGGCCAAGGTCTTTCAAGCCCCAAAGTCAGACGGTGGCCTCCTGGAAAAGTTCGTTTGACGATTTTGGCTTATCAGCGAAGGGGTCTGTCCGCGTTTTCGCTTATCTGAACCGGATTCAAATTGAGTGTGGCCCCTTCTTTCGTAATTTTGGTTCCTCTTCCTGAAGGCACTGCGTAAACACGCTGACAAATAAACGCCTCTAACGGAAACAGAGCAATGCCCTGTTCCTTGTGAAGCTAGCAAACAACGCTGAACAGTTGCGCACAGCCGCGCGCGTCGAGAGCTTTGAATTTTACTCTCTGTGTTCAATGGCGTGGGTGTTGAAAATCCTTACTGTCCTGTTGAAAAAAAGCACAGGATAGCGGAGAAAAATAGTTATTCGCTGTACGTTATTTAATTTCAAATGTTTTTAAGAACATTATGGAAAAATATAACAAAAATTGAAATACTATCGTGTGTAAAACGGAGAGTAACGCACTACAATGCTGATGAAATACACCGTGTGGACATTCAAGCTTGGCGCAATTGTCTTTGAAAAAAATTCTATTTTTGAAAAAAATTATGAGTATATTTCTTTAATTTTTAGACAATTTAGGTTAAATTACAAATAAAATTCTCTAAAAAATTTAAAATAAACTATTTACAAGTTTTTCTGAATATGTGTCATTCGAAAATGGGATTTTGGCAACGTCTGAATAAAGCTTACACGGCGTTTTTCTGCAGCGAACGGCAACATGGAACTGATCCGTAATTCTGTAATCGATGCAAATATTCTGAAACTCAAAAGTTGCTCAGAATATAAGACATATTTATTTTCTCAAAATGTCGATAGTGGGATCAAAAATCGGCGTTACTTCGAATTGGTATTCTGTATCAATTTTAAGTAACAGTTAATGGAACTTCTCTCGTTTCACTCCAAACATGCCTCTATTTGCACGAGGTCCAGCCGTCACTCAGTGAATGGACTGCATTTAGCGAAAAGGAACCAAGTCACATCAGTTATTACCAAATTTAACTGGGCAATTTAATTTTTAACAAGTGGACGCTCGTGCGTATTCTTTTAAGAAAATTTAGGAACTTTGCTTCGCACTATGCAGAAATTTCACTGAAATTTTCACAAAATCCTCACAACCATTTTCATGTAAAAAATTAAAGTACCCAACTAAATTTGGCAGTAGCTGACGTGGCTTGATTCCTTTTCGCTGAGCGCGGTCCAAATGTCCGCAGTGTAAAACTTGATACATTACACGCGAAGGGAAGGGTGATTTTTCAACCCGCCCGTTACCAAAATATTTGACTTGCGATGGGGCGGTTAACCCTTGCAAGGTTTGGATTTCACCACCAGTCAAGTTCGACAGTGTCCAAACAAGCTCATTTTCGCCGAACCAGTTCACACCTTGAAATTCAGCGTTAACTATGTCTGTTGAAAATCGATCGATATGAATCATTCGAGGCATTTACAGGCCAACAGGCCAGATAACTAAGCATAATATCTTGCAACGGATGGAAATACAAACAAGACAGAAATGCAAGCTGAATACTTTTGCTCGCCTCAATCACACCCCTTTCTGGTTTTCACGCCTCGCTCGGATCAACCTATCTGAAATTTGTCTTATCGAGGGAGAGATGAATGAAACTAACTGATAATTCTCAGCGAAAACATCCATGAAAGTTTGTTCAGAAATTTTTTCAAAAGTCGGAGATTCTAAAATCAATGGAAGCCTGAAATTCGTTGACTAACCAAAAAGCAACACTTTTTTGGTAGTAAAAGGATTGAGATGCAATACCTAGTTTTTCTGCATATTATGCCCTCTGTTATTCGGGTGCTGCAACTAACGATAAGTCCCATGCTTTTCTGAAGAGGCAGTTAAAAAAAGCGGAAGCGCCTTCAGTTTTGATCATGCAACACGCACATCCGTGGAACACGAATAGTTGCATCAAGGCTCCACAACCAACTTGGATCGAGATGCCTCGTAAGTTGAGATAAACACATCTTCGAATTTGTTGTCCTAAAAAGCGTCAAAATCAAAACATGAAAAAAACAGTAAAAACCGTTTCAATCGACCTGTTCTAAATTTCAGAGCTCTGAAATACTGAAGCGATGATTTACTTAATCACATCATTATATAATCTACGATTTGAAACGGGTCGATCATTACAGTTTTCAATGTTTTTCTCGTGTTTTCATTTCTGGCGCTTAAGTATTTTTAAGATAGACCTATTCAGTTATTGGCCTTAGATACTCTGGCCTCGCGTTGACTCGTCCTTTATAGGTACTCTGCCATTAAAGTGATACAACTGACGAGTCTCCTGAGAAAATCGAAAGTGCCTTCAATTTTGAACATGCAACACGTACATCCTCAGAACACGAATAGTTGCATCAAAGCGTTATAGTCAACTCAGTCTCGTCTTTGTAAATCGGAAATCCAATTTTTGAATATGCAACACGCACATCCAAGGTACTGAAAATATAAGCAAAATTTAAGAACCCTATAAATTTGTACCTATTAAAAACTTTTGAGAAAAAAGATAAAAAAATTGCAAAATTTATTTACATAACCCGTATGTTGTTTTGATAATTTAAAGTTTTGTTCAAAATCTCGCTAATAGTTCGTCAGAAGTCCGTAAGAGGGGGAAATTCGTTGATTAGCGTATGGGTTACATTTTAAATCAACAACCGCTTGCGTAATTTTCAGACTTGTGACCGGCCAGTCGGAACTGGCAGCCCAGTTCACGGAATGGGCAAAAAAATCGGTCCGTTCGGAGACTGGCCAACGGGGGTAACCTGTCCATGGGTAGGATAAAAAAATTGCCAAATTCTCTAATAGGGCAATTTCTCTAGCAGGGTACAACATATCGATGGCTAAAATGCAAAACCACGTGTTTCCATCGCGGTGTTTCACAATTTCCGCTCCTATTCTATTTTTTCAAAGAGAAACTAGCTACTTTTGTAGCTTGAAACTCACATAGAATATTATAGAGGAGAAAAATCAAGGAAGTTTTCAAAAAATTACATTGACTAGTTTTCCAAAGGAATAAAGTATGATAAGGAGTCTGCAATGCCGCAAACAGAGATACGTTATTTAGCACGTTTGCCATCGATATGTTCTCTGTATAGAATATTCAACCTGCAACCATTAAAACTCAATCAAGTTGCTTTTCTTCTTCTCAATCTCTTCATTTCCCTCCCCTTTTTATTTGAAGATATATTAATATCACCCTGAACATTTTGATGCACAGTCAAAATAAAGTTCCAACTTTCTAAGAATTTAATCAGTCCATCATCAATTGAATAATGAGGTAAGAAACATGATGGATATTGGTGTGTTGAAAACTCTCAGATACTCTTGTCAGAAACTCAACTGACAAGAGTCAAACCCATCACTTAGACTCAATAGAAATTCTCTGTTCGTGGGCATGTTTTTGAGGTCACGGGCATTACATTTTGACACGTTAAAGTGTGGCAAAGGGCGAATTATTTTTCGTGAAAAAGTTATGAAAAAAACCTTGAATCATTACAAGAAGGAAATCCTACTTTTTCTCATAGTTTCATTAAAATAATTAAACCTTAGAAAGAGCTATGCTGAAAGAGAGCGTTATGGACCCACAAAATATATGAGACTTATATTTGAGTGTCCGTGACGCTCTATTTTTCGGTAAAGTTCTTTCTGAGATTAAATTATTTTGATCCAACTCAGAGGGGGAGTAAGGGATTCAAGACTCTCGCAAGGGTGTAAGAATTTTTTTAAGAATTTTTAATCCAAATAATTAGCCCTTCAACACACTGACAACGAGTCAAAATGTAATGCCCGTGACAAAAAAACAATGCCCACATCCGGACGAAAATTGCTGCAGGCTCCAACACCGTAAGATGATGCTGCTCCTGGAATCAAAGTTATCAGAGTAGGAGGGGAGGGAACTGCCCCGCTGCCGCCGTGGAACATCTGCCAAAATCTAGCCGGGGGTTGCTTCGTCTTCGTCTATGCGGAGCGAGGGATTGAGGAGTAGCGCGCTCTGGTGTTTCGATACGTGAGTCTTTAGTTCCGGTGTTTGCCGCGAGGCAGCCCGCTCTGCGCTCGGTGTGTTTCAACGGCGCGGCGCCTCAAATCAAATCAGTCTCGTGATAATCGTGCGACCGACAGGGTATGTGCTAGCGGCGTGTGTGTTGTGTGCATTTTGATTGTTTTTTTTACGATGATTACGTGCTAGTGCAACGAAAATTGTGATCATGGAAACAAGATTAGTGATTTCTAATTTAACTCATTTACCCGGTCCATTTTAATTTCACTTATTTATTTATTTCGCGAGTTTTTAAAAGTCATAAATTTATGCCCAGTGAATGTGGTGGTGGTTGTGTTCGCCGAATCCTCTGCACCTAATTGCTGGATTAAGTTTTTTAGTGAACTACGTTAGTGTTACCATGAATTGGATACTACCTTCTTCCATAATCTTCGTATTGATCTATCAGGTAATTCAGTTTCATTTGACTCTCAGTGTCTTCGAACCATCATACTTCCGTGCTTGTATTATCTCCACATCTAATTATTTTTCATCAGGGTTTTGTCACCGGGTTGAAGTAATAACCTCGTGACTCATCCTAGACCACCCACTTTACGCTATTTCACCGTGTTTCAGAATTTCGAATCGAGTCTTTGCACCTTCGATCCTCAGAAGTTACTGCGCCCATGATAATAATTATCAGATTTAAGTATTTGCATTTGCATTTAGTAGTTTGATTAGTCTGTTATGCCTGAGCACGAGGTTGCCTAAATTTAGCCGCCTAAACGGTATCCTCACTACCTGGATTCTGTTTTCGATCAATGACTAGATATCAGATATTATCCCTTAGACATGATTTTACTTAAAATTTGCGTCTGCCCTACTCCTGCTCGGGGTTTTCTCGTTTGTGTTTGTCTTTTGATGGTCAACTCGAGTTTCTAGTTCTAGAATTTATTTTCTACGAAGCCTGATTATTGTGTAAAAATTGGATGATTTCCACACTTAAATCAGGCCACTTCATTTTCTTCTAATCGTTGCCTTCACTCTCAGCAAACCTTCCTCTTTAATTTTGACTTCTCCTGAATATATCTCTGATTAGTTCTGTGAAGCTTGCACATTTAATAGTTCGATTTCCACCTTATTCAACCGTCCACAATTAAGTTTCGGCCCCTAATTTTAACAAATTGTCCCTGCCTGAAATAACTCTTGTCTTTACACATAGGCTATTGAATGTCCAGTCGGAAATTACTTAGTTTCAACATTAGGCTTCGCTCCTAGCTGTCGAAGTTTTTCTCACGGAATGGTCTGTCGCCGGTTGAGTCTGTTTCATTGAATCTTGCGTCTGTCTGCATGATTCTCATCCAATCGAAGAGGTGTGATTCATCGGCCCTCCCCGTATTTGCTTTGACTCTTTCTTTTGCGTACCGAGATAACAGTCAAATAGTTCCGCCGGCCGGACGCCCGCCTGTCTGGAGCATTGATTTGTGTGGTCCGATCCTCACATTACCTCAGTTCGGTCGGCCGATAAGAATTCTGTCACCGGCGCCGCCGATCTCGAGTCACCCCTTTGGCTAGTCTGGCATCTTCGCTCTCTTTCCTTTTCGCTCTCCGATTTTTCTAGACTTTTCCTCCTTCTCACATCCGTTCTACCTCCTCCTCCTTATGAATTTAGGACGTTTCCGTTCACCCTAGCTGCTCCCTTTCCCTTTTCGTCGTGTGAGTTCATTGTTTTACGTTTTTCCAACTCCCGGCGGAATGCGGAACACAGATTTTGAACTATCGCAATCCGTGATTTCCGGTGCCTCATTTTCTGTCGTCATGCCTGCCTCGATCATGAAAATCTACCCTATAATCCTGTTACAGACGCAATTTAATACATGTTGCTTGCACAAAATCACTCCACTAAATCATAATCGGGAAAATTTTTCCCCCTTTAGATTTGCATCATATTTTGAGGAAATTATTGTTTACTCAGCCCTGCTTGCTTTTCTCTGTCAATTTCCAAACGATTTTTTATCACTTAAATTGTAGCTCAGATCAATAGAGAGGATGGGGCTTCATTGATTTCATCCCAAAGAGGTATCTGTCTTTTTCTCGACCGCACTGATTTCCCGTTCTTTTTTAAATCCATTCAGTGTGACTTAGGAATGCGTAAGCATTTGAATCTACTGAGTCTTAGACCTGAAATATTTAAAAATAAAAACTGTATCGACGAAAGCGAAGGGTTTTTTGTTGTTTTTTTTGCTGAAGCTATCTTCGATTGTGGCACCAAAAGGGGGGGGGGGGGGGGGGGGGGTTCGAAGACTCACCAGCAAACCCATTCCATTTGATCGCATGCCGAACACCGAAGCCTCGGATAATTCTAAACCTTCGATTTTTTCGCCGCGGTGGAAGGGGTGTACACCAAAAATCCCTAATTTGCGGGTTGATTTTTCAAGAGGCATCCTCCATCCTCCTCACGGCTCTTAGGTTGCGTCTTTGATTATCCTCATCAATAATTATTGCCGGGGAATCTACATTTTTATCCGGCGTCTAATTGCCGCGGCTGGGAAACATTAATCTGTCAGATTCGGTGGCTGTTTTGAAGTTATAATCTCTATCATTAGAGCCGTGGGCCCGAAACACACGGTCGGTCGGATTTCGAGTTGTACTTATTCATTTACCTTTTCGCCCATTCCACTATTGATAGTCTACCGATCTGTTTCTCGGAGGTCAGGTACCCAGTGGGTTTCGAGAAAAATTGCCCCTCGGCTTGGAATCCCTCCGCCCCTTAGTCTCGTGTCACATGAAACTTCAGTTTTTTTTTTTTTTAATAGTGTATAATTGTTTTGATTTTTTTAATTATAGGGTCTGGGAAGTTCAACGAGTTTCCTTTAATTGTTGTTTCCTAAAATATTTCGAAGAATCAGCCCCAAGCAATTCGAACGCTTTCTTTGCTGTGTACCTTCTGAACTCTCTTTCTGTGATCAGAAAATTTTCTAATGTGTCAGCATATTGCCTCGAAAGGTTCTGTTTCATATTTTTTTGTTTTCTTTGTCTTTGTCGGCTTTTTCTCTAAGTAAAGTATATAATATTTAAATTTATGTACTAAGTTATTCAGAAGTTTTCTGAAATCTCGTTTCTATTAGTCCGTCAGAAGTGGTTTCTCGGTGCCTCGGCTAGTGTTATGATGTTCCAATCGTGTTTTTTTCTTGTACTTCGCCGACCGCGTCATGGTGTGTCTGGTGTTCTTGACTTCCAATTTATTGGTTTCCTATTTTTTGGTAGCCGAGGCGCGTCTGGTTTTTTGTTACTTGAGAGCGTTGTTACCGAATAATCTAATCCACATGTTAGTTGTAGCTTGTTCAAATTGTCCCCTCGTCAGTGTCATACATTAATCCATTTTCAAGAGTTATTTAAGTAGTTACCCTTAATTTTATTAGAGCTTTTTACTGTTTTTTGTCGCTTGAAGTCCTAAATACCTTAGTCTTTTTCCTTCTCTTCTATCTTGGTTTTTTCATCCTTCAACTAGCTTATCTCTGTTTCAAAAACGTGATAATTTTATTGACCGTTGAATTTCAAATGTGCGATATAAGTATAATACTTACTCAAGATTCAGAAGTGTTAGCATGTAAATGGCACTCTCCTCTAATATGACTTCAGTGTGTTTTTCGGTCTGTGAAAATCATGTGTAGGAAATACACATGTATTTTGTACAACTCGCATGGTTAACGATTTATAATGTCAATTATATCCACACTTATCTCTCAAGCTGTTCCTTGACTAGAGAAGTATAAATCGCAGAAGATGAGCAATTTTTGTGTTGTCATCAATGGAGCTGAGGATTCCTTTGTCGTTTTGGAAGCGTTTTTCATACTCATATGACGCCCCTTACCAGACTCGCAGCAAACGAATAACCCTCTTTTTTCTATAATCTATCATTTTCGCCTCGAAGACTCTTGTGAGGGGCCAGGGACCCTCCCTTAGTGATATTCCGATTTCGCGCAACGGTCGAGGATGGGCGTAGCTATTTTCGTCCGATTTGCCCAAGATTTCTGTTGTTGCAATCATAATGTCATATCATATTCCACCGTATATTTCTTCATATTTTATCACATATTTTCGAGCTGTTTCATTTCTCATTCTCAAGATTTTTATTCGCAACGAGGGGTTAAGTCACACCATCAAGTTATCAATTTACCGGTCTCTGCTATCCTCAAAATGTTGTAATTTTTGCCGAGCATTTTTCAAGATAAAAATGTAACACTTAAATATTAAACCGTACGAACCTATCGTAATTGAAGCGCTGGATTTCGAAAAGATGCCTTCTCAAAAATAAAAAGAACGAACTCGAGGGACAAGAAAAACTATTTACGTAGGAGGTGGAAAAGGATGGCTTACTTTTCCGTCAAAAACTCAATTTCGAAAGAAATTGGACTTGGCACCTTTTCGAAACAAGCGCCTCAATTCTTTCCAGACGTGAGTATTAAACTACCCCACAAAGTTTGCTGACGAGGAAGTCAAGCACTTTTTTACTTACAATTTCCTTTGTTCAATTTTTAGTTCTTACATTTTTATTCTCTCTCGTAACAATTTTCTATTTATCATCACAAGACACCCGCGCGTTGTGGAATTACACAGCGGTGAGCTTTAATCTTGTGGCTTCGGCAATTTTCGATACCCGGCCTGTTTCTCACTGCGGGATGTGGAGCGTCCGAGGACTTGGAGTCCTGTTGTCTGACGTTTCGCAGACGGCCCCGCGAAAAGTGAGCCTCCGCGATTATTTTTATCCTAGACTTGGCTTCCGTTTCCCCCAACTCGAGTGCAATATTTGTTTCTCTTTTCTTTCTTTTCCCCGCAATTTTCCTTCCTTTGTCGCATTCCTCCGGAAGTCACGCGGGTTTCGGGGCAATTAACGTGCCTGCAGTTTTTCTTTCTCTCTTCCACGCGGTGGTGCGCCCCCCTTAATCGCCGCTCTGGTATTCTCTTCGTTTGTTGTCTCGCAACTTTTCATTAGCTCAACGGTGTTGTTTATTTGTTTTAAACAAGAAATTCATGACTTTCTATTAGGACCAAGACGATTAAAAATGTGACAATTTAAGAAAAAGGGAGTTGTTGAAAAGGAAATATGATCCGCCTTGTGCATGCAAGAATTTGAGCGTTCCTGGGTTTAACTTCGGTCGCAAAGCTAGCAACCGAACTAAGTAATTCATATCTCAAATACGGATCGGTCAACCATCAATGTACTTAGTCTGGACACTGATAAAGCATATTTTTAAAGTTCATGTATTATGGGTGTCAATTGAATCCGTAATATTTTTTGTTTTGCCTCTAAGCCATCAGCTCTTTTCTCCCAATCAGATTTTAGCATTTAAGTAAGTAGGTAATTCAAACAAACCCAGTCTAACAGAAACGTACCAAGTTCCCTCAACTCTAAACTTAGAAAATGAGATTTGAAGTATTATTCGTCCACGAGACTTCTGGTCAAAACCGGAGTGTAACTTCAAAACTATTCTCAACTCATTCCCCCCTCCTAAATGTGACTTGGTGCGTCTCTGTTAAACTCTACGAATCTTTAGATTTAATTTTATGCTGTATTGAATTGAAGTGTTGATGCAGAACTGACGGAGCTATGTTTTCATGTGTTGCAGGCCATGAGTTCGGGAGTGTTCGAACTACGATTGAAGTCTTTTCGGAACGAGCAGGGCAGGGATAATCTGCGACGGTGTTGTAGTGGTGAAAAGTCGGACTTGTGCGCGTCGCCCTGCCGGACTAAGTTTCGCGTTTGCCTGAAGCACTACCAAGCGACGGTCGACACCACCTCCGGGTGTACTTTCGGTAATTTTTGGACTCCAGTCCTCGGTGAAAATAGTGTCGAGATCGGTGATACCACCATCCAAGGATTTACTAACCCCATGAAGTTCCCCTTCGAGTTTGCCTGGCCTGTAAGTACACCTTTTGCCTTCTATTTATCCAATTCACAATTTACATAAGCTTTTTACGATGGCTCTAGTCGAAAAGTGGCGGACTTTTGTTCGGTTTAAGTATTGTTCGATTTTTTTTTGATCAAATTTTTTAAGTCCTTAACATGTCAGCGATTTTGTGAAGTAGGTATACCTTATGCAGTTTTTGCTCTTGTATACTCAAAGAATTTTGAGCCTGTGCAACAATTTACCCGTTTTTCAACTGGAGCCACCGAGATTAAGAAATACAACTTTTTCTACTCAGAATTTTTGCAATTTTATTAGGTATTGATGTAGACTTCGCCCCAAACAATGGCGTGCCAAGAGAAGATGCCGTACGAACATTCGAAAGTTGCTAAATTCCCTCAAATTAACTGTTTATCTGTAAGGATAGTTATTGGTAGTTCCTCCTTGAATTTTTAGATAAATCAGATTGCGAATAAAATGTGAGGAAAATACTCAAAGATTTCCCTGACAATTAATTTTTTATCAAAGAAAATGTTGCAACGTTTGAAGGCTCATACGGCGTTCTTCCTTAGCACGGTAGACTATAGTGGCGCACTTTTGGATTACAAATCTTCTGCCGACCATGCTGAAATATATTTTTGCCGTTTAGGTACCTACATATATTACAAATATTTTTTGTAATTCATGGAACTGACCTTAATGCTACGAAGTGCATTGCCAACTCTGTAATACCCTCGTCACTTTGAATTCGCTCACAGAACGAGCCCTTGCTCCTCAGGTAACCCTTCTTGGTCCCCTCAAGAAGCGTGGCTCTGAGCCGTGTCTAAAACAAGCGGTGCAGTTTCTCGGGCACTAATCCCCGAGGGACGGAAGAAACCTAGACGGTTAAGAAAATGCAGCTGCGATGCAATTGTCGCGCCCGGAGACGAGGTGCATTAAAAAACACTCTCCCCTCCGCGGCCACCCCCTCGGGCCCCCGACTTCCGAACCGGTTCCGGAGGGGGCGCGGGTGTTTCCGACCGGCTTATGGCGAGCGCAGTCAAAAATAACCGCGCGGGGAGTGGAGGGGCCCGTTTTTATGAGCGAAAAAAATCCGGGCGTCAGGCGCTATCGCGTGGGGAGCGTGGCCGTCATAACTCGTTCCGCGCTAGGATAGGTCGAGGGGGATGCAAAATTCCCCACACGACCCCGAATCGAAATAGCGTAGGTTCGGGGTGTTGGGTTTGCTCAACGAGGGGTCCGTGTTCACAGCTCGTCAGACGGTTTTCCATCATGTCTCCAGCTATTGAGGGAAAAAAGTCCATTTTTATTGAATTTTCATGTACTTACTTGGAGCGTTTTATCACGGATTTCTCGTGGTATGAATTTTATTCAGCGGACGTTTTGCACTTACCATTCAAAAATTTAGTCAACAGAGGGCCGAAAGTTACCCTAACCTTTTTTTACCTAAAAATGCAATCATCAAAGTAATTTCCTTTAAATTTTGATAAATTTCAGCTACTTTTAAAAATTCCTCCATATCTCTCTCTCTCTCATAATTTAGGTTCCGGGTGACTTCATTAAGTTTACCTGGTAAACTTAATTTTGCAGAATTCCAAGCATTCGACGAATAGTATAGTTACTTCCAAGTAATCCAGCTTAAAAACCTAATTTCGTTATCTAGACTTTCCACGCGACGATACATTAATGCTCTACTTGCCTCCCCTCCACCGCTAAAAAAGTCAAAATACCTCATAAAAATTTAATAAACAGTAAACATGTAAAGATGATTGTTTAGACCCGAGCGAACTGCAATAACTGCAGGTAATCGGCCTGCATTGGGAAGCCGTAAACCTTCATGAAACCAAACGGCCCAGTCTTTTTCGATCGGGGCGGCGATCGGCGGGAGGGGGAGGTCACCGGTCGGGCTGACGTTGAGGCGGAATAAAATAAATAAACGAAATGAAAAAGCAGGACTCATATAAAGCTTGATATAAATGCACGTTTCGCTCGTGCCTTGTACCGCAATCGTTCTACATCGGAGTCGCCGTTGCGAACCCTGGCGAGGAAATCGCCGCTTTCCCGGGGAATGAGTTCCGAAACCGGCGGCGACTTGGCAATACTGCACTTTCTCAAGCTCAAACGCCGACGAGGAAAAGCTCAGAGGCGGAGGTAACGAAAAAGTGCATTTCTTTTCGTTTTGTTCCTGTTTGTCTGCACCTCGACCCCCCCTCGCATTCGCGACTCGGAGACGAATGCAACGGAGATGCGGCCTCGCACGTTACGTGTCTAGCTGTCAGTCTTTTTATTTCGCGTAGAATATGAGAGACGGATCAGGGCGGTTGTTCTCGGAAAATTGGTTGTCGTTCAGCGGATTTAACTTCAAAATCTGGGGGGGGGGGGATTGGTATTTAAGGCAACTCAGTGACTTGTGAAGGGAGGTTCCTGTTGCCTGTAAAAAATAAGGAATGGATATGAAATAACGAAGTTAAAATTGCTCCAGCAAGCCATTTAAATTATGAATAAGTCGCCTTCTCTCCACATATTATCTCGACATTTTTGTTTACAGACGGCTGAACATGTTAGGACATTCCTAACCTTAAAACATTTCTGTTAAAATCATTCTATTTTTTTATTTTTTTTTTTTAAAAAAATCGTTGATTGGAATTTTTTCCAAAAATATTTCGTCATTTCATCAATACCTACGTCTTCATCCCTAGCTTTATTTTGATGATGCTTTTTTATCCCAAGGTAGGGTCTTAGGGCAGGGATTTTTTTCAAAGGCATCGGCGATGTTTTAACTTTTCAAGAATGAAGTGATTCTAATGATTTTCGTTGACTGGCCCCGTGTTCGAGCCCGAACATTATTTCATAGGATGTATTTATATTGTTTTTTGAAAGTGCGCAAAAGGCCCTTCCGATCGTGATTTGCCAAAATCGAAATCACGGGGCCACGGTGGCGGCCTGTTGCTCGAGAAACGGACAGGTCGGCCGTGGGGCGAACAATAAGAGGTGCACAATGAATGTGACTCGAGTCATCACACATCTGCTCCTGATCGAGGCTGCCAGTTCGTATCGGCAAATCCTCAGCCTAATCCATCGTATCCATCTCACGAGGAGATAAAATTTAATCGGCAGTTCTTTCGACGCGTTATTAAATTTTAAAAAGGGATTTTGTTTATTTTATTCTCAGAAGTATGCGCACCTATCAGTCTCTCAATCGATTAAATGAAAAGAGAGAACACAAAAACAGAAATCCTATTTGTAGGTAAGTAAGTGTCAAATATTTACAAAAAAAAAGGAAGAAAAAAAAGTCACATACTCAAATCATCGTAATCATTTGTTTAATTTGTTCTCAGAATAAGGCCAAGTACGTAGGTATATTCGTTTCACTTGTAAGACATCAGATTTGAATAACTTCTGAATTTTGTTGATACTCTATGAGAAGCATACTTAATAATCTGCTGTCAATTTCTCAGTCGGACCAGTTTTTTTTAATTTTACTCTATTTTAAGCAGATTAAGATGAATTATATTTTCAATTTTTGGGGACGCGCGTTGATTTAGAACACGAATTTTTTCAGTTCTTTCCCTACGTTCCACCAAAAAGTAGTGATAGCAACTCCGTGAAGCAGGCAACCGCACACATTATCTTCCGGGGAACCTGGGGTCCAGGAACACCCCTCCCCCCACGAGCGGCAGCCCCTTCTGCTCCCTCTTTCGTGTGGGAACCAGATTTCTCAGGCTTCCTCAAACATCTCTCCCTCCCCTCACCTCCCCCGCGCCTTTGTGTTCCCTCATCGCAGGTCAGCTGACTGCCAGTTGGCCCGATCTTAACTCCGGAACCGGGATCAAGTGAGACGATAAACCTGGCCTTTTCGATAGGGAAAGTTGTGATTTCGGACCCCAGCCGGCATCCGTGAATTTGTTTTTGGGACCGGGGGAGGGGGGGGGCGTTAAATTGGGCCGGTTTTCGGTTCGCCGATCGAGTGTTTTCGGGCAGAGAGAGGTCCTTCTCCACCTGTTGCTCGTTCCGCGCGGAGACATTTGGTCCAGGAGGATTAATTACGGAGATGCTGCCCCTCTACGACTCCCTTTCTCTTGTCAATCTCACAATCATTTTCACACGCTTTTCGTGGCCCTTGGTAAATTTCCGTGCCTTTCTCGATAAGGAATCAGGGCGGCCCGGGAAGGTCTGCATCTGCGCGTTGTAGTACAGTCTCCTTTTTTCTTTTCATCTTGGGTGCAGAAACAGCTCTAATACGTATCATACAGAGAGTATATCAATTTGGTTAAATAAATATCAATCAAGGCTAATGGTTAACCGCGAGAGTTTGTTGGATGAAGATTTGTGGAAATCAGTGACTGAACGCGACAAAGAATGTTTCTATGCAGACTACAAGTTGAGCTCGAACCTAACTATCTGATTTTTCGCAATCACTCATTTTTAATGGGTGTAAGTATCTAGGTCAGTCTGTCAGTTAATCTATTTATGCAGAATTTTCGCGCTTACTATTTTTAATATCCTCAATCGATTATGTACGAGTGGAATTGATTAAAATCTCAGTAGATTGAAATCTCTCTGTATAAATAATCAATGACATCACTTTAATTAATTAAATTTGACTTTGTAAGCAGCTTTGCCAGAAATAGACAATCATTATTTATCTTTAATTTCTGTACCTTTTGAAATTCTTTTTATCAAATTATACGCTTTACACCGAAAATAACCTATATTTATATCTGTGATGATCATCTTGCTCTGATCATGTGGTCAACCTCCTAGCCTTTTCCCCTCGAGTATGCCGCTCCATGTAGGTACACGAATCATCCCGCAGCGCATTTTCAGGCCGTAACGAGTTGCTTTCATCTTCATCCTTGCACTCTGCACCGAGGCGCGTTATCAGTACCCATATAGGGTTAAGAAAGGCTCGCAGGTGCCAATACTGCCGTGCTAAGGAAGAACGCCGTATGAACATTCGAGAGTTGTCAAATCTCCTTCGATAAAATGTTTATTTTTGAGGAAAGTTATGAATA